AAATTTTATTTTTTCTTCTTCTATGATGATGAAACACACCATCACTTAATTAGAAATCATATTCCTAAAAAACACCACAATGACCGCAAATCATCCATGGACTAGGCAGTGGAAGCTGAATGGTATTCTTCAAGCCTAAATAAATAATTGTGAAGCTATTTTGTTAAGCCATATGACACCAAACCATTATCTGGAACCAAGATGGTCTACAAAGAAACAAATAAATCTTACACAAACTTCATACAAATTGGCGCAGAAAATGATTGGTGGTGTGATGTATGGTCCTGGAAACACTAAAAGATTGATCAAACATGATAAAGAAACTCTTGCATAAGTTATATGAAGTATTAGTTAAGATCTGTAAGTTTGTATAGCATTACTCTGTTTGGACGTAAATAGCATAAAAGAACCAGACCTATGGTTTACTATCATCAAGATAGTTCTGTAAAGAGCACTCAAATGTACTACTTTAAAACCTACAAAATATACAAACTGAAAATATCTAAACAATTCATAAAGTTGATCTATCAAAAGAAAGATATAGCTTCGGAGAGCTACTTTAACCTTCCAGATACTCTCACATTCCCTCAATCTTCTAGAAAAGAGCAGACTCCCAATGTCCTACAAATATCCAATAATTAGTATATCGTCACCCCTCAACACACTCAAAAAAAATATAGAACATCAATAAAACTGCTGCAAAGTCCAATCCCAATCTTTCACTACCCTTATAAAACATGGGGCCTAAGCACGGTTACCATGGCCCCTTCTTTCTAGCCCTCAATTGCTACCACCTTTTTTCTCGAAAAGAAGAAGAGTTGCTCATGCTTTTGCACACACCATGCACCACACAAGAATCCAGACACCTTCTCCAATATGTAAAGCAACAAAGTTAAAGGATATACATCTTTCTCTTGCAAAGCTATTCCACAACTTTATCCTATGAAATCCATCACTATCTTCCCACCTACAAATGCTACCCCTTCAGATATACTATTCTACACCTGAGATGATAAATGTAATGCATCGAATGTCTAAAGTCCTATGGGCCTCAACCAATTAATCCACTACCATAAATCCATCGAAGCTTTTTCAAAATCCCCAAAAAATTTCACCGGGATGAGGGATAAACTTTGGTTTTAGCAATAGTCAGATCAAAAAGTTGAAGAAAATGGACAAACCAAGATGTCTTTGCCAACTTAGTACACATGACGCATACAAGAGTAGCAAGCCAACATAGAATCCGAACAACATGCTGAAAAGAACTTGAAACTGAAACTTTGCAGTTCTAAAATCATACGAAGGTGTAATGAATAATTGCGCGGAACAAACCCTCCAAAATCCATCTCTCCCCTTATAGACATCAAAAGGAATAACAGCACCACACTCCAATTAACCCGGTGTCTTCACTTGCTGGAGCTTAATCTTCCAACTAAAAAGAATCTAAATGGCAATTTTCCAGGCATCAGCTAAGAAACCCCAAATAGTGAAACTAAATCCCATGCCAGCAACCTGGTGCCTGGCGGTGAACTATGATAAACTGATTAGCCATCATTTTTACTCGCGCAAACAACAACGTTTCAATTCAGTGATTCTAACAATACATGTAACCAAACAGAAACAAATTCCATTAAAATATCATCAAGAATTCTATCTAAAACTTGGAATGCAACAGTAGACAAAAATTTAACCCACTCTTAAGTTTGACCCGCAAATGAAATCCTCAAGCCACGTGAATTCAACCAATTCCTATCACTATGCTTATAATTCTTGCAATGAAGCACATAAAACGACTTCCACTCAAGACAAAATCCCATTCGAATAAATTCATAACGGACCACCAAAAATCAACCCATTTCACACTCAAACATAAATTAAAAAAGGGCAATCCAAACCAACAAATTAGCACCAATCCCAACACAAAATCACAATTAAAACAAAACCCACCAAAGCCAACAAATAAACATTGAAAACCCACAAAAATGCGACCCATTCCAAGGCCAAAAACAAAAACCCAGTTGAATAAACAATAAAAAGATTGAAACTTCACCTGCCCTAATACCAGAAGCACCAGCTTTCTTCAACCCTTTCCATGCAATTCAAAGAAGCCCTTGATCTGTCAAAAGAAAGCAACAGCTTTGGAAAGCCACTTTATCCTTCCAGATACTCTCACATTTCACATCAGCCTTCTTGAAAGAGTGGACTCCAATATCCTAAAACTATCCAATAAATAAGTATATCTTCACCCCTCCACCAGACTCAACAAATTTAGGAAATCAAGAAAACTGCTGCAAAGTCCAATTCCGATCTTTCAAAGTCCTTGTAAGACTTGGGGCCTATCTTTCGCTACCCTTATAAGCCTTGGGGCCTAACCACGGTTAACATTGGCCTTTCTATCTAACCCTAAATTGCCACCATCTTTTTTCTTTTTTTTCTTTCAGAAATGAAGAAAACAGTTGCTAATGCTTTTGTGCACACCATGCATCATACAAGTAAGAATACAAGCTATCCTCTCCAACATATAAAGCAACAAAGTTAAAGAGTACATGTCTTTCACTTCTGAAGCTATTCCACAGCTTTGTCCTATGAAATCCATAACTATATTACCAACCATTGCAAAAGAGAAATTATAGTCCATATTTGGATAACAGGTTCATCATCATCTCATGACAAATGTTTATCACATTAAAGATGTTTTCTTTTCTCTTTAACAGGAATTGGTTAGATAGTTGTGAGTCGAAGCAGAAGAGAACACAATTAAACATTAGAGAACAGGCGGAAGTGGGGTTGCGCATGAACACACATGCAGATGAAAAGTCCCAAGATACCAAAACAACATTGCTAAGTAAGAATGAAAGTACAAAGCAAAGAAGCATAAATTAGTAGCATGACATATTCAGTTGCTGTCCTTATAATCAAAGCTGCACCAGAATAATGCAAATCAATTTGATACGAAAGTCAACCATAAATTGAAAACCCCATCAAGAAATTAATGGGAATCCAAGTTAATTTCTCTAAATTCAACACATTTCCAGTGCCGACATGGAATGCTGATAAAATCTAACTAAAAACATATGTTGCACAATTTCTTCATAAAGTGTCATGGCTCATGCACTTAAAACTTCAACCATGAACAAACAGACCCATAAAAGAAAAAGAAACGCTGCCCAAATCAGTGTACTTCCAATCATGGAAATGATGAGGTTAAATGCAAATTCAAGTAGTTGAGAACCCCTTCGGATACACTATTCTTGACCTGGATGAATACTGCATCAAATATCTGAAAGTCCGATGGACTTCAACATATCAATCCAATACCATAAATCCATCAAAGCCATTCAAAGTCCCCAAAATACCACCAAGATGAGAGAAAAACTTAGGTTATGGCAATAGTCAGATCAAAAAGTTTATAAAACACACAAACCCAGATGCCTTCACCAACTTAGTACATATGATGCATTCAAGAGTCGCATGTGTATAGAATCTGAAAAAAATCCTGAAACAAACTCAAAAAAGAAACTTTGAAATTCTCAAATCATACGAGGGAGTAAATGAATGATCACTTGGAACAACCCCTCCAAATGTCCATCTCTCCCCAAGTAGACCTCATTAAATACAATGGAATCAAACTAAACAGGTTCTAAAGGCAATGTTCCTGGAGACAGCAAAGAAACCCCAAATAGTGAAAAGAATTAGTGAGCCCGGGTCCGATGCTAGCAGCAAGGTGGTGAACTATGACCAACTGATTAGCCATGTTTTTTAATCGTGCATCCACAACACCATTAAATTCTATTGATTCTAGCAATATACGTAACAAAACATAAACAAGCCTCCATCGAACATCATCAAGAATCCTATCTACAAAAATAACAAAAACTTAACCCACCTTGAAGTTTAAACCCCACCCCACCCCAACCCCCCAAAAAACAAAAAACAAAAAAACCCTCAAGCCACCTGAATTCAATCAATTCCACAATGCTTATAATACCTGCAATGAAGCATACAAAACAACGTCTACTCAAGACAAAATCCCCGTTTGGAAAAATACAAAACCATTCCACCGAAGACCAACCCATTTCATACCCTAAAACAAAATGAAAAAGAGCAACCCAACCCAACCCAAACCAAAAACTAACGCCAATTCCAACACAAAATCACAATTAAACAAAACCCACCAAAGCGAACAAATAACCAGTGAAACCGCAAAAAAATGCAATCCATTTCAAGGGCAAAAAAAAAAAAAACCCAACTAAAATAACAGCAAAAGATGAAACTTTACCTGCCCTCAGACCAGAAGCACCAGCTTTCTTCAACCCTTTTTTCTTAACAATAAAACTGGCTCCTATAAATAAACTCGAAGACAATGCCAACAACAATCCCTTTATGTTATCTGTTGACATTCCTATTTCTGTTTCCGCCATTACTTTACAATCCCTTCACCACCAACACCGGAACGACGACGACGACAACAATGTCTCACCTCAAAACTCACAGTTTCCATTCCACATCATTCATCAAGTCGTATTCTTTATATTAATCTTATCCAAATCGGATTGTATAACGCAAATGTGTATGAAGAATGAGAGAGAAAGGAACACCAAAGAGTATTGGGATTTGTGAGTTTAACGTAGTTAAGATGTTTTTTTATTTGTTTGTAAGATTTAGATCGATCTGATCGGTACAGTTCTTGTTGAACAAGAGACGAAAGCCGAACTTAGTTTTCTTTTATCCCTTTCTTTACTTTTGTTTTCAGCTTCTATCGACCACCCGTGCACGCTTCCTTTAGCGAGACTGAGAGATGGGTAGTAGCCCAGGAGCAACTTCTGGACCACGGAGATCTTTTTCAGGCCTCTAATTTTGTCTTGCTCTCTGGCTCGGGAGACGAGTGCAGCCCCTTAGTTCATTCAATGGGAGAGGGAAAGCAGAATTCACCAATTACAAGAGAACGTGTAAACACTCAAAAAGAGGAAGATTTTAGGGAAGAATCGATCGAAATGAATCTCAGTGGTCGTCAAAAGAGTGGCTTCGATATTTCTTTCAGATTTTTTTTTGTTGCCGTTTCGGTTCTTTTATTTTTATTTTTGCACATCAACATATCATATTATTTAAAAATATTTAAAAACAATATTAATTTAATTATTTAAAAGAACCATTTAAAAATATTTTAAAAACAAATTGTAATGAAAATCCTCGTGCTGGTTTTACTGAGAATGGTTGTTTTTAAAATAATTTTTTATTAAAAATATATTTATAATATTTTTTATTTTTTAAAAATTATTTTTAATATCAGTAAATTAAAATAATTAAAAATATATAAATTTTATTAAAAATAAAAATAAAAAAATTTAAATTTTTAAAAATATAGATTAAAACTCGTTACCAAACCCCTCTCCTTAAAAATGTTGATCCGTTAACAATTTATATTTTTTAAAATATAGATTAAAACTCGTTACCAAACTCCTCTCCTTAAAAATGTTGATCCGTTAACATATATAGAGAGCATTGATCCATCAATAATGACAGTACTCCATGCCATTTAGTGCTTGCTTTTCCTAATTTGCTTTCTAATTATTTTCTATCAAATAAAAATCAAAATGTTCAAAACGACATCGTCGTTTATAGTGTTTAAGCAAATGATTAAAAAAAATTTTATTTTTCAATGAAGATGAATGTGTATTTGTTTTTGCGTGGAATCCTTATTTTTTAAAAAAAACTGATTTTTATTTTTTTTAGATTATTCTTTATATGTTTTTTATTATTTTTGCGTGCGAAACAGTTTTAATGGACTATTATAAAAAATAAATTTAAAAAATAAAATATACTATTTTAATATATTTGAAAATGAAAATAAGAATTATTTTAATATATTTTTGAAAGTGAAAATAAGAATTATTTTAATATATTTTAAAACTACATTGTACAAACACTGATAAGCAAACTGCAAACTTCTGTTACACAGGAAAACAAAACACAGCAGATCCCCTCCCGTTTTCTTGTCATCTCCCGACAGAAATTGTTCGAGTTCAGTTTCTTTTTGGCTTACCTAGCAAAAGCAAGAAGAAAAAAAGAAAAAAGATAAGGAAGGAGGCTCCCGCTCCAAGTATAAAACTCACACCAATTACTCTTCCTTTCTTTCTTGCCAATTTCTCGGTAGTGTCAACTAGGCCAACATTTCCAGTTACTTTTATCGAAACCCGTGGTGGAAATACTGGTATGACTCCAGATAGCTGATTGTTGGAAAGTATCAACTCTGTCAAAGTAGCCATTTGAGTAAAAAGAACAGGAATCTCGCCCGAGAACTTGTTGTTTGAGAGGTCCAAGACTTTCAAACCCATCAGCTGGGAAAGATCGCTTGGAATAGGTCCTTCAAAGAGGTTGCTGCTGAGATTTAAGACAGTCTGCAACCTCATTGGCATCATTGGAATCGTCCCACTCAGTTGATTTTGTCCAAGTTGTAGTTCAACCAGAGAAGGCATTCTACCAGGGATTGAACCGCTGAGTTTGTTACCTTGCAAATTCAAATAATCCAGGTTGCCCAAGCCTGTAATTGAAGAAGGTATGGAACCGGTAAGCAAATTCCAGCTGATATTCAGGGTTGATAACCTAGGGGGAATTTGCTTTGGGATCTCACCACTCAATTTGTTTAATTGGAGTTTCATGACTTCAAGTGAATGAAGACCAGCCAATTCTGCTGGTATTGCACCAATCAGGTTATTCTGTGCCAAGTTCAACACCACTAAGCTTTCACAAGAACTCAATTGGGGAGGTATCACACCAGTCAAACTATTGTTTTCCAGCTCCAAATGAGTTAGATTTGTTAGTGCTTCAAATGAAACAGGGATTGAGCCATTCATTCTATTGCTTCCCAATTTTAGAATAACCAAGTTTCGAGATACATTTGCTGGGATTGAACCCTCCAACATGTTATAAGACAAATCCAAAGTCTGCACATTCGGCTGTGACAGAAAGTCCGGTGGTATCAGCCCAGCTAACCTGTTATAACTAAGATCTAAATACGTCAGAAACCTTGTAAGTCCACAAGGAACTCCACCATAGAAATTGTTTTCATTTGCTGCGAAGTGCTGCAGGGTTTGAATATTTGAAAGGCTTGTTGGGATCTCCCCACTTAACTTATTGGAAGACAGAACCAAAACTTCCAAGAAGGTTAGGTTTCCAAGTACATCAGGAATAGACCCCGAAAGCTGATTGGCACTCAGATCAATCCTGTGCAAATTCTGGTAACTCACTATTTCCGACGGGATGGAGCCCTGGAAAGAATTCACTGAAAGCTGAAGCTCTTCCAACATCATGGATTTCCCAAGGTTTATGGGAACATGCCCATTAAACTTATTGGAACTAAGATTCAAGCTTTTGAGTGAACGAAACCCATCTAACTGTAAACTAATATTACCACTCATAGAGTTAAATGACAAATCCAAGGTTTCTAATCCTTCAAAACCATGAAAAGTAGGCAAAGGACCAACTAGCGAGTTATGACTAAAACTCAAAGTCTGCAACTCAGAAATCTGTCCACAAACATTGATGAACTCATCTGGGATTGAGCTCAATCGGTTGTTCGAGAAATCAAGCCACTGCAGAGACTCGATCTTGCAAATAACAGATATAAAATCAGAAGAGGAGAGACCAAAGCCGGATAGGAAAAGATGGGTTACCCGTGTGTTGTCAGGACTGCATCTAACTCCAATCCACGAACATGGGTTTGGCTCCTTAGTAGCATCCCATGGTGAAGCAGTGTTGTTAAGGAGCTTAGAGAGAGTGATCAAGGTGATATCTTGGTCTTTGGACAGTTGACAAAACACAACGGAACATGAAAGCAAGAAGCAAGATAAATGCAACAAGCGAGTGATATGTGCATGCCAGCTCATTTTTGAAGTGATGGGGAATGTTATGTTGCTTCACTTCCAAACCTACAAAGCAATTTGCAGAAACAAGTGTTTGATATGTGAATGTTGTTGATTTTAAAGTGATAAACTTTCTTGTCGTGTGAACTGGATGATTTCACCGTATTATGTTGCGGATTGGGATAGTTTTTTTTATATTAAAAAAAATACAATGTGATTATGACTTTCTTTTTTTTCAATACCCAAAAATATAATGTGATTATGGCTAGTTTGTTTGCTGGAAAATTTTTAAAAAAATAAATAAATTTTTGAAAAAGTGAATTTCGAGAAAAGTGAATTCCAGAAAAGTAAATTTCAAGAAAAATAAATTCCGGTCTAATATCAATAACACCTAAATATTTTTTTAGCTTAGTAGTGTAGTAAGCCTCAGTCTACACTTGAATTTTGCAATATGATAAGTTCAAAGTATTTAGACTTAACATTTCATAAAGTCCAAAATAACACGGATTTTATAAATATATCAAATTTAAAATATTTAAACTTTATAGTTAGTTAAGTCCAAGATAATGATTATTTTTCTTGAGCTTGTCTAAATGAATAATCATCGTCATTTAGGTCTAATATTGAGAAATAACTCAACTTGCATAGATTTAGCTAAGTTTAATATCTTAAACTTTAATCTCCCTATATCTTTTTAGATGTATATAATCCTTCAAGAACCTATCATATTCTCATCAAATATTAATATAGATATTTTCCTCTCATTAAATGTTGTTAGAGTAACATTAGATTTTAGACTCTTCTATTCATAAAAGAATAAGACTCATGAGTTATAAATATATTATAAGATTTTTAGAATAAAGTTCACAATTTTCATTCTCTATTGCATATATATTATCAGAGTATCTCTATATAGAATATTCATGTATTTTTTTTTCTAAAAAGATATTTATTTAAACATTAAAGAGTCTACATCTCCACCAAAAAAAAAATCTTTTGCAAGTATTAGTCAGGAGCAACTTTAGCCTACTAAAAATCAAGTATAAGATATCAACTATATTGACTAGAAAGAATGAAGAAAATTGCTATAACTAATTGATTAACTAATTGTCAAATCCAAAAATCATATTCCCAAATTAATTGGATTTTTAGGACATCATCACATATACTAACTTTTAGCTAGAAAGCTAGAAAATTTATAATAAATGTTAAAAAAATATTATCATAAATAAAATTGAAATAGTGAAGTGGAGAAACATGTATGATCATATACTTCTGAAAGCCTTTTTATTTTATTTTATAACACCAGCATTTTTTATAAGAAAAGTAAGAATTGGATAAAAATAATTTAACTAAGCCTGCACTTGAACTTTGCAATCTACTAAGTTTAAAGTATTTGGACTTGACATTCCACAAAGTCCAAAATAACACGAGTCTTGTAAATATATTAGACTTCAAATACTTAAACTTTACAGTTAGTCAAGTCCAAGATAATGATCATTTTCCTTAAGCTTGTCTAAATGAATAATCATCGTCAATTGGGTCTAATATTGAGAAATAACTCAGCTTGCATAGATTTGACTAAGTTTAATGTCTTAAACTTTAATCTCTCTATACCTTTTTAGATGTATAAAAATCCTTCAAGAACCCATCATATTCTCATTAAACATTAATATGGATATTTTCCCCTCATTAAATGTTGTTAGAGTAACATTAGATTCTAGACTCTTCTATTCATAAAAAGATAAGATTCATGAGTTATAAATACATTATGAGATCTTTATAATAAAGTTCATAATTTTCATTCTCTACTGCATATATATTATCAGAGTATCTCTATATAGAATATTCATGTATTTTTTTCTCTAAAAAGATACTTATTTAAACGTTAAAGAGTCTACATCTCCACCAAAAAGTTATGAGCAGCTTTAGCCTACTAAGAATCAAGTGTAAGATATCAACTATATTGACTAGAAATAATGAAGAAAATTGCTATAACTAATTGATTAACTAATTGTCAAATCCAAAAATCATATTCCCAAATTAATTGGATTTTTAGGACATCATCACAAATGCTAACTTTTAGCTAGAAAGCTAAAAAATTTATAATAAATGTTAAAAAAAATATTATCACAAATAAAATTGAAATAGTGAAGTGGAGAAACATGTATGATCATATACTTTTGAAAGCCTTTTATTTTATTTTTTATTTAATTTTATAACACCAGCATTTTTTATAAAAAAAGTAAGAATTGGATAAAAATAATTTACTAACCGAAAAGCAACCATTTAAATCCCATTGTCTCATATCCTATGGTGAACAAAATGCAACCATTCATTTAATAAAAACTAAAATTAATAAAAAAAAAAAGATATGTAAAAAAAAAGATGATTTAAACTGAGAATAAAAAAAATCTAACTAAAATTACTTCATCTCATCAATATGCTCCTTATTTTTAAAAAATAATTACCTGAACACTTATTTTCTAGACAACATCAAATTATTATTTCAAAAGCCAGCTCATTTTCTTTAAATAACACCCTAATAATTTTAGTGTTGAGTGTATTAAAATAGCATAATAATAATAATAATACAATACTAGTATGTTGTTATTAGAAACTCTTACAAAGTATAACTAAACTCATCTTGGTCTTGTATCATTGTAACCATGCAGAGGTTGTCTAGATATGACACGATCATTTTGATAAGTTTAAAAATAATATAAAAAATTTATAAAATCTTGAATTGAATTAAGAGAAATTTTAAGACAACACATTTGTTTTAATATCAATACAGTAATATATTGATTGATACGAGTTCACCAACAAACCAATGACATGAATGATGGATATGATTGAGTTTAATAAATTTATTTTTTATTTAATTATATGATAATAAAAATAAATCATTATAATAAAGAAACTTGCTAAAAATATTTTTTTTTTATTATGGTGAGCTACTAAAAAAATGATTCCTCGAGAACGAAGTAAAAACTATTGTCAATAAAAAAAATAACATGTAAAAAATATTCTTATTTAATCTAAGAATTTAAAAGAAATTATACATATTATATTAAAAAATATTTAATTTTTAGTAAAGTTAACATCATTGGGCAAAAACAAAAAAATTCTAGTTGCACAGGTTTGTTTGTCCAACGCACTTAAAAAACACTATTGTAACCTTAAGAAACTAATTCCTCAACTTGAAAAACCCCTAAATTTGTTATAAGAAAAACACAAATCAAATAGAAAAAAAAACTTTTTTCAACCCCGATTTACATTTTTAGACTATAAAAGAATCCACAAACA